TTTTCCTTTCCTGCTATCTGTAACATTCTTATACTGGCTGGAGCTCTTGCAGTTGTTTTGGACCACGAGGCACCCCACAGGGCGAAAGCTTTGCACAACAGAGCCAGAGAGTGGATCCGGGTTTCTGTTGACTGACATGTCACAGGGCTCCTCTTGTTTGAGAGAATGAAGCCCTCAAGGCTTGACAGTTCTGTGGTGAAGGCTCTGCGACTGTCGGCCAAACGCAGTCTCCGAGCGATTCAGCCTCAGTTAGACTTGCTCTCCCTCTCTTACCTGGCCCACCTGGCCTTGGACTCGCCCTAGTGCCACCTGTCCTTGCTCTGTGAACACCTGACTCTCCGTTCTTTTCCTCTTCCTCTGTGCACTTGCTCGGGGTTAACAGCTGCTCAGCTGTCTGTGCCGGGTGACCACCACCGTCTCCCAGGTGCCGGGCGCCATGAGAGCAGGCAGGACGCGGCCAGGCGGGTCCCTGCTCCTGCAGTGGCAGGCTGAGGGCCACTTAGAAACCTGGAGGAGGCAGACAGCGCCCTCGGGAGCAGAGCTGAAGAGCCTCCACCGACGGAGCTGGACCCGCATCCACAGGTCACCCACGTGGGACGCAGACGCACACCAATGGACACAAACCACACCAGGCCACCCTGAGACAGTGTGGCCCACAGTCATCGCCGCCACAGACCTAGGGCCACCGTGTGACAGCAGGGCCCACAGACGTCCCTGGGACAGAGGGTGACATCTCATGCCTGCCTCAGAGGAACAGCTACCACATGTCCTTTTGGCTAGTCTATGACCTGGACCCCAAACCCAGGGACGGCAGCGGGGAAAGGAAGAGTGGAAGGCTCCATCGCGTAGAAAGCACAGGAAGCTGCGCGCGTGGCCCACATCTGTGATCCCAGCGGCTGGAGGGGCTGGGGCAGGAGGACCGCGAGTCAAAGCCAGCTTCAGCAACCCACTTAAGTGAGGTCCTGTCTCAACAATAAAAGGGGCCGGGGATGTGGCTCAGTGGTTAAGCACCCTGGGTTCAGTCCCTGGTGCCAAACACACACATACACACACACACTCACACTCACCCTTTCACACTCACACACACACACACACACACTCTCTCACACACACACACACACACACACTGTCACATACACACCCACAAACATACATTCACACACACGCACACTGTCACATACTCATATACATACATTCACACACACACACTCTCTCATTCACACTCACCCACTCAAACTCCAGGCCTCAGGAAGTCCTGCTCACTAGTGTGCCCTGCGGCCCGTGTTGGGTGCGGGCAGCTTTCTTGGGAAGTCTTTCAGGCAGATCTGCCTTCTGTGAGGTCAGGGGAATGTGGCCACTGGGGAGGGGATGCAGGGTGGCCTGTGGGGGTGTGCAGAGCCCTGGAGGTCGGGTCCTGGTGCAGGCTGGTTGTGCCCTGGTGGCTGGGGTGCGGGCCAGCCCTGGGTGACCGGGGAGGTGGCACGCGGAGCCCAGTTCATTTCTCTGTGACTGGTCCTGGGGTATGTGTGGGGGCAGTCACCTACCTTCACCACAGTGACCATGCCCTCGTTGGTGACAGGGTCTGTGCGGATGCTGAAGTGCCCCGACGGGTCCCCGCTGATGATGCGGTAGACGGCGTTCCAGTTTGCCGAGTGGGGCTGGTCGCGGTCCATCACGGTGAGGTTGGCGACCACCGTCTCCACCCGGTTTTCAGGGACCTCCCCTGCAAACTGTAAAAGGTCAGGAAAGAGAAGGTCACAACCCAGTGTGGGGCCGGGAGGCCTGGGACTCCTGTCACACCTGGGAGGTGCCGGGCCACCGCTTCAGGCCAGGGAGACGGGGGTGGGAGGTACGTGGGGCATCGAGGGAGGGTTGCAGGGCTCCAGCGGGCCTGCGGTGCCTTGGCTCCTGGTGCACAGATGCAGACCCAGCAAGCCCCGCCCACACAGGGGCCAGGCCCCGCCTCCTGAGCACAGATGCAGACCCAGCAAGCCCCGCCCACACAGGGGCCAGGCCCCGCCTCAGGCCCTGCCCAGCCTTTCCTGTGGGTGCAGAGACCAGTGCAGACACAGTGGGAGGGCATGGGACAGCGTGTTGTGCTCACAGGTGGGAGAAGGCGGTGATGGGTGGCAGGTGTGAGAGGCTTCTGGAATCAGAATCATCTCTGGCCTCCTCCCTTATGTCCTGCCATGGGTTTGGGCTTGGGGTTGTCCATTGTGGACAGGCAGGTGACCAAACGTGGGGCCACGGCCCCTCCTCCTATCACATCAAGGAGGGCTGCAGCCCCTCCTGCCAGGCCCCCTGAGCAAGGGAGACAGTGTGGCGTGTGGGCCTGTGAGTGTGACCGTGAGTGTGTGAGCGTGTCTGCCACTGGCCACAAGCTGAGATGGGTACTGACTTGAAGCAGAGGCTGCGTTTGTTCTGCCCGGGCCTTTGAATGCACGCGGTGGCCTGGCACTGTGCAGTTTGACCACAGGACACAGAGAGCTCCCTAGGGCCTGGGACCTCAGGGGTCCTGCAGGAGCAAAGCCACGACCACCTACCTCGGTCCTGGGTCCTGGCCTGTCGGCCTGAGCTTCCCAGGGGCTGTGGTCAGCCAGGGGGACAAGCCAGAGGGCCAGACGCACCCGTGCCGCTTGGGGAATAGGTTTGTTGGTACAGATCCTGTCTAGTACTTTCGTCTGTCTCCTTTCCTGCCGTGGGTCGAGCCGAGTAGCCAGGACAGAGGCGGTATGGCCACCCTCTGGCCCTTCATAGAAAATGGCTGCAGATCCCTGTTCTAGACCCCTGTGGCCCCATCTCAGTGCCTGCTCAGAAGTGGGCACCTGGCCCAAGCAGCCATTCAGGACTCAATTCTGGTGTTTCTGCCTCTGTCCTGCACATTGTGACCATAGGAGCCTGCAGGTGTTGGGGTGGGTGGGGTGGTTTGTGTGCAGGGACTGCCACACGCAGCTTGGGAACAAAGCAGTCCAGAGGAAGTGTGGCTGAAGAGGGGCCCTAGTGATGCTGTTGGAGCCTGGATACAGCCATGCCTGAAGTCATGCTTCCCAGGACCTTTCAGCCTCTGTATATGAGGCCCTCTCTTTGTTCAAGCTGCCAGGGTCAGTGTTGCGGACATTGGTCAGGCTTCCTGGCTCTCCAGCACCTTCTGAACTCTTCATTATTTCCTAGCCTCCTCTGTAGCCACATGGGGGCCAGATGACTTAGGACCTGCCCGAGTCTGACTCCCAGTACCTGGTGCTGTTCGCAGGAGGGGCCTATTTAAGTCATGTGGCTTCCCAGAGAAGGGCCTGGTGGACACCTGCTTAGGACCCTCTCAGTCACCTTCCTAAATGTTCAGGTTTCTGGGTGCAGGGAGAACCTCTCAGCCCATGGCAAGCAAAGGCTGGTGTCCGGGAGGAGGTCTCCGGGGCCTCCCCAAGGGGTCTCCGCCTGGGAGGAGCCAGAACCCAAGGGCACGGGGTCCCCAGTGCAGGGGGTCCCAGCTTCTCCGAGGCCCTTGGAGCACAGTCCCGGCTCGAAGCAGAGACCACTGTCCACCCAGGGGAGGCCCCTTAGCAGCCAGAGGGCTGGGGGTGGGGGGGCGCGTGAGGCACAGCCAGGTCCAGGGAGAACCTGCTCAGTGTCCTGCCTCACGGCGTCCAAGAAGCCCAGTGGCCTTCGAGGTGCCACAATGGCACCTGCTCGGGGAGCAGCCCCACCTTCATTGTCTGGTGAAGCGTCCTTAGAGCCTGATTCGGTTAAGGAAACCCAGAGAGGTTGGGCAACCTGCCCATGGTCACACAGCTCTCAGTGGTGCAGCAGGGGCTCCCCACAAAGTGTGTCTGAGCAGGAAGGGCCCATGCGGCCCCTGCTCTGGCTCCTGTGGGCCGCAGAGCAGGAGGACCCTGCCAGGTGACAATGCCAAGCCCCCCCTCGCTTTCCCCCTCCATTGCTGGTAACAACGTCAGGGCCAGCCAGTGGCTCCCCTCCGGCCTCACCTAGCGGCCCTGAGGGAACGCGCCCTTGCTCCCAGAGCCGGCCTCAGCCTGAGGGGACTGCAGGGGACAGCGTGATCTCCAGGAGCCCTCACCCAGGCCCCAGCTGCAGTGGTCAGGCCTCGCATGGGCTCGGGGGTCCTGCAGTGGCCCTGAGCCTGCACTGCCCGGCAGTGTCTCCTCCCTGGAGGGCCCTGGTCCCAGCTCAGGCAGGCCCCACGGGGAAGAGCCGCAGGGCAGCGTGGCCAGTCCTCTGCCCCAGCTTCCTTCTCCACGTCTCCCAGTGGGGCTTGTCCCCGGGAGGCCTGCGCCCCACTGCAGCTCTCCTGCCTGGAGCAGGGACAAGGGGACCGCTCCCCCACTGCCCCGCGCTGAGCCACCTCTGCCGCCTCTGCCGCCTCATCCCCTCCAGCTGGGGTCCTAACGAGGGCGGGGTCCTCTGGCCACTCCCCTGCACAGCCCTTGTTCAAGGGCAGTTAGGGGCTGTGCCCAGCCTGGGCTCAGTGACCAGGGCACTTAGGTGGTAAGGCCCTCTTGCTGGTCCTCTGCCCAGCGGGAGCTCGGGGACCCTCCCTGTGATGAGCACAGGGCAGCGGCCCTGGCCACCCCGTCCCCCTTTGTTGTCTCCCGTTTGGAAGCCTCCCAGGATGCCCGGCTCTTGGCACGACGTTTCAGTTCCCGAGGCTCAGTCCCCTGCAGTAGACAGGCAGGATTTGGCTTCAGAACTCAGAGCTGTGGGCTCTGAGGCTCTTTCCCCAGGAGGAACTTGCAGGCCGGGTTCTTGCCTCCTCTGTCTGTGGGTGGGATCCTGCGGTCCTGGGGCCGGGGTGGCAGGGCCGGGGCCGGGGCTCAGTGGGCAGCGTCTTCCCATCAGAGCAGGCTGCGAGGGAGTCACGAGCCATGGGAGCCAGGCGTGCTGCCCAGCAGCCGCCCCCGAGGCCCGTCCACCTCCCCACCCACCGTCAGGAGGAGCAGTCAGGAAACTGAGGCCCAGAAGGCTCTGGAACCCACCCAGGCCGGCATTGGCCAGTGGGGGCCAGGGTGGGGCTGGGTCTGCTGCAGTGTCCTCGCTGGACCCATGGCCACCTCCCCCTGCCTGCAGCTTGGTGGGCCAGGTCCGGAGCATCCCAGGACTATGGAGAGGTGACCCCGGGCCTAGGAATCTTCCTGTGTCCCCACACGGGGACCACCCCTCCCAGAGGACAGGGGCCTATGCTCTGCCTTCTGTCAGGCCTGCTCCCTGGGCTGGGCCTGGGTCCCTCACCCCTGCTCATAATGAGGCCACAGCTGTCCCCAGAAGTGGATTCTGGCCTGGTGGGAGGGTCAGGGAGGGAGTCGAAATTGGGTGGGGATGGGAGATCTGACCCCTGGCCCTGCAGCTCAGAGGGGCTGGCACTCAGAGGGGCCAGCGCTCAGGGGGACTGGCTCCAATGACCCCTTTGTGGCTGAGGTCTGCACTGCACACCTGAGCCCGATCAGGGGCAACAGGTCCACTCCAATTTCAAGACGCCACCGTTTTACTCTGAGAACACCGTGCTGGTCAGAATTTCTCTCTTCTGGGTTTGTGCCCTTAATGGAGGAGCTGGGAGGTGAGGCTCGCTCTCAGGCTGAGGTGCCAAGGTGGCCACTAGTGGCAGCTGGCCTGGACAAGTCCAGCAGTCCCAGGGCAGTGCCAGGCCAGCCCGTGGTGCGTCTGGCCCCCGAAACCTCAGCCGTCTCCCGGCACCAGGCAGACCCTGGGGGCAGCCCTGCTGCGTGGTGTCCAGGCTCCTGGGCAGACCTCGGCTCCCCGTGACTCCTGTCCAGCCTCTGAGCGAGGCGTCTCTGTGAGACTCCAGAGGTTTAGACCACGTCCCCTGAAGACCAGTGAGGGAGGCCTGGCCCCAGACCCTGGTGCTGCTGGAGGGGCCAGCCCGAGGAGGGGGCCGAGCAGGAAGTGAGGTCAGGCGCCCTTGGGAGGGCGGGGACCTGGCCCCCGGGCAGGAGCAGACTTTCTCCCCCAGGTGCCCCCTCCACAGGTCCACGGCCACAGGCCAGTCCACCAAGGACTCCACCAGAGTGAACCCTCAGCCCAAGCTGCTGACCTCAGTGTTGTCACAGAGCCCGGAGCCGACACCGTGGTCACCCCTGCAGCCTGCAGGGTCCTCAAGTCCGCCTGTCCTCACATCCTGCTGGGAGGGACTGGGGCCACTGGGATCTCCCACCCCCTTCGGAACCGTTTGGCCCAGTCTGTCCTTGCCCAGAAGTGACCCTTCAGTGCCATCCCACAGCACACGCAGGCTCTCATCTCCTGGGACTTCAGGCACCAGCAGGGACGAGCCTGCGTCTCCCCCACAGCGGAGGACAGGAGAGGCTGTGGCTACTGCTCAGACCTGCCCTCGGGGACCCATCTGGGCAGGACTCTAGGCCTCTGGATGCCCAGCAGGAGGCCAGCGCTGTGTGGAAGTTGAGGGCCCAGCGACCATTCGGTTCATGTGGGCCCCCTCGAAGTGTGTTACACACAAGTGTGAAAAGGGGACAGACTATCTGAGCTCAGAGGGGTCAGCCACACAGCTAGGAGGGACGGACAGGGGCTCAGGCGGCCTGACTGCAGGAATGCGCATGGGGTGGGGGCGCTGGCTGGAGGGAGGCCAGCTGGAGTGGACTGCAGGGCTGCCCGGGGCTGGGGGCTGGGGGCTGGGGACACGTTCCCAAGGCTTCACCCCAGGACCCAGGCCAGCAGGAGACCCCTGGGGTGGCGTCTGAAGGTGGTGTCCACCCAGCAGACCCTGCAGCACCCTAGGAAGGAGGGCAGCCGCTGGACCAAGAGCAGGCCATGTGCTTCAGTGGGCAGGGCAGCGGCTGCTGGAGCAGGAGGGAAAATGACCTTCCTTAACAGTTAAGAACAGGGGGCTGGGCGGGGGCTCAGTGGCGGAGCGCTGGCCTCCCGAGGTCCTGGGTTGGATCCTCAGCACCACATGAAAATAAATAAACAAAACCCAGGTGTCGCGTCCACCTACAGCTAAACATTAAGACAAACAGTGCAACAGGGCGGTCTCTCAGCCCTGACTGTCCTCCATCAAGCTTGATAAGAAGCTGGGATGCGCGTGCGCCACTGTGGCCAGCCTGCCCCCCTCTCCACCACTGGGCAGTGTCCCAGGGCCCCTGCCTGTCACATTGTCACACCTTGAGCCTGGCTTTTGCACACAGGCACACTGCAGACGGCAGGTAGAGCTGGTAGCAGAAGGTGAGGACTCTCTGTCAATCTGGGTCAGGACCACTGTCCCCTTGTCCTAGCCCTTCCCCAGCATCCCAGGGAATGGCCTCTCTACCCTTGGCCCTGGGGGCAGGGAGGCGGGGATTCTAGGGGGGGAGCACTCCATGTCATCTTGGGTTAAACACAAGATCTCACCCCAGTCTCAGGGTATCTCAGGCAGAGCGACAAGGGACAGCCTGAGGTTTGTCTTGATGTCCAGCATGAAGAAAGGTGGACACTTGCTCCACAGAGCTCCTTGCTCCCACCTGCCCATCACTAACGCCCGGGCCATACTAGGACCCTTGATGGGAGATCTGGCCTGGGTTCCCACGTGGCTGGCCCGCCTCAGGGAAGGTGGCGTCCAGCCCAGGTGCAGGTGAGGGGCCCGGGCAGGCCATCCAAGCTGCAGAACCAGCCACCCCCGGCTGCCCTCCTGCTGAGCTAGTGAGGCCCAGCCTGGGCCCCTGGCTCTCCATCCACCCCTGCAGCTCCCAGGCCCTCCGTCCGAGGTCAGCAAGGCCTCCTCCGGAGCACCTGGGAACATGCTGGGGGTCAGCATCTCACGCAGCCCGAGGGCTCCTGCACTCCCGTCTACCTGCGAGGCGCCCCCTTCCTGTGGGCATGCTGGGCCAAACCCCTCAGCACCCCGCGCCTCGTGCCCTCTGCTGAGGAGGGGCGCAGAGCTGGCCTGCCCCTTCCACCTGGTTTCCATGGCAGCCACATGGTCCTGAGTGCTTCCTGGGGGCAGTGAGGGTCCCTGGGGTGGGGAGAGCAGCCACAGCGGCTGTACCCCAAGATCTAGACACCCACTGGCTGTCCCCACGCAGGGTGTGTCCCTGGGACCACGCCCTGTCCTGAGCCCCTGCCCTGGGGCAGCAGGGGCCCTCAGCACTGAGGGGCGGGCGGCCCTGGCACTGCTCTGGGGCAGGTTCATGCCAGGTTCGTGCCCCCTGCTCCCTGCTGAGGTTACTTAGGTGAGCTTCCTGCTCGGGCCTAGATGGTGCCCTGGATCCTCTCGTGTGGGGAGAGCTTGCTCAGGGAGGGGCCGACACCCCGGCCAGCGAGCACCCCTGCGTCCTCACAGGGGGGTGGGCTCTACTCTGCTTGGTCTCCTTCCAGAACGGGGAGGGCAGCTGCCCACTGTGGGAGGAGAGCAAATGGAAACTGCAGCCCGAGAGATGGACTTTCCTCCAGCCGACACCTCCCTGGCCAGTGGCACCCGCGCTTCCCAGGCCAGGCTTAGTGGGTCAGCACGCCAGGGCCCCTGGCTGCCCTCACTGCCCGTGCAGGTCTGAGGCCTGGAGCCTGTAGGGGGCGCCCAACCCCACCTGGTCAGAGGGTGGACTAGCTGCTCCCCCACGGCCCAGCTACACCTGTCCCCTAGATGGCGCTGCGTCCCCATCTGGCCCAGCAGGACACAGGAGGGCGCTGGGGGAGGAGCTCCGGGCTTCCAGCATTCCTCAGCACCATGAAGGGTGTCCTCCCTCTGCCCCCTGCTCCTCTCTCCCCTGGTGGCACAGTATGTGGGGCCCAGAGCCACCTGCTTCCTCTGGGCTGTGTGTCACCTGGGTCCCCGTGTCCTGGCCCACCCCAGTCTGACCCCTCAGGGGCTTGGTGGGTGCTTGATGGGCGGGCGCTCCTGGCTGTGCTGCTGTGTCCCATGGACACTGTCCCTCTCCACTCTGCCCTCAGGGAGAGGTCAGCGCAGCGAGGGGTCGTGTGTGGGGGTGGAGAGCCCCAGAACCCTGGAGCCCTGGCTGGCCCTGCCCCCTGCAGCCCTGGTCTTGGCCTCTTGGAGGCAGCTGGTTGGACCACGTGCCTCTCACGTCAGCACTGCTCACAGGGCCCGCAGGACGGATTGGGGACGCAGTGCCACCCACCCACAAGGCCTGCGGAGTCCTGTGGAGGGTGCTGGGGAAGGGTGTCGGAAGCCTGCAGACCTTTGGGTGGCACAGGAGGCCAACAAGTCCTGCCAGGCCTGAGCCACGGGGCTCACCAGAGGGGACTCTGCGGTGGCTTGGTGCTCTGGGGGACTCCGGAGGGAGTGGAGCCTGTGCATCAGTGCCAACCCTGGAGGACAGTGTCCCTGTGCCTGAGCAGGGGGTCCCCAGGCCAAGCTGAACAGGTGCACACGGGTTCACCCAGCAGACCCGACCAGCATGGCCACCCTCAACTGTTTCCCTCTCTGCAGATGGGCCACAGGGGTGTCCACTGTCCACTGTCATGCAGGGACGCACCTGCTCTGACCAAGGCCCACTCAGGCCTCGGCCAGGCAGGGCCGCTGCACACAGTTGCACATGGCCTCCACTCTCAGGGCATGTCCCTCACTCTCAGGGCAGCCTGTGCTGAACTGGAGCCCACGCTCCTCCCCAGGGCCCTTCCTGTGGAGCCTCTGGCCGCTCTCCTCCAAGGGGACCTAGCTGGGGGCCGCTGAGCCTCAGCTTCCTGTGTCGGGGCCATTCCATCCACGACCTGTCCAGCCCCTCCACCCACACAGGGCGAGGGAGAGACGCGTCAGCAGTGGCCTCGGTACTCACTGTGCTCGTGGTGAATTCAGGGGGGTTGTCGTTCACGTCTGTCACCGTGATGATGGCCGTGGCCGTGTTTGAGAGCCCGTAGTTGAGGTTGCCTTCCATGTCGGTGGCCTGCACGATGACCGTGTACTGCTGCACTTTCTGGAGGGGAGGGTGCGAGGAGGAGAGGTCAGCCTGGTGTTGGTGGACAGGGTGCCCTTTCTGCTGGGGCTGGTGCAGAGGACCGAGGACAGCCCTCTCCAGAAGTCTGGGGCTGAAGCTGTCTGTGGGAACTGTCCCTTTCCCTTGGGGCAGTGACAGGTGACTGGAGGAGGTTGGCTCTGTCTCCATCTCAGGGCCCCTCAATGGACATGGGTCGCCTTTGGTGCCAGATGAAACAGTTGGCAAAGGGAGGCCCAGGCCAGGGCCACGGCCACGGGTCGGGGTGCCTCGCTGAAGTGCAGGCAGGACTCAGGCGGGAAGGAAGACGGGTGGGGAGGTCTGGGGCCCAGGTGTGGCTGTGGGAAGACGTGCCAGCCGGGCAGCTCCTGCACGTTCCCACGCAGCGGGCCTCGGCCGCTCGCTCCCGGCCCGTGGGAGTGCAGGATGCTGAGCCCCGTCAGCAGCGGTGGCCTGTGCACACCCCTTTCTGATAGAGGCCAAGGCTCTTGCAGGACAGCAGAGGCCCAGCCTGGTGGGCAGCTGTCTGTGGGACCTGCCCGTCTCTCACTGGCACCATGTGGGCAGCAAGGGTTCTGGGGACCAAGGCAGAAAGGGGCCCTCTACTTGCCCTCCAAGTGCTGCATGACCCTGACTCTTGCTCCTGCAGGATGTGAGCACAAGACCAGTGCCCAGCTACCCGGTTCACTGAGATGTGCCTGGGGAGTCCCAGCAGGCTGCGCCAGGTGCCTCTGCTGCCCGGGTAGCCTCTGCATGCAGGGTGGGCGTGTGCAGAGTCCAGTCTGTACCACTTGGACTGGCTGCCCTTGGCAGCAGCTCTGCTGGGCTCTGCCACGGAGGCTGGTGCAGGCTCATGTGACCGGGCACCGCCTCGCTGGCCTTGGGCACGGTGGCACTGCTCATGGCAGAGGGCCCTGTCTGAGGGGCCTCGGGCTCCAAGCACAAGGCTGTGCTCTCTGTCCATCCCCATGGAGACCCGCCCGCCCACGCCTGGCAGTGTCCCTCCCGCTGCTTCCTCCCTTTGCCAGTGGTGTTGGTGCTCCCAGAGGCGGGAAGGGCCTGGTGTTGTGGCACTGCGGGCTTGGCTTCCGGCGCTTGGCTTCCGGCTGGGACGCTGCAGAGACGGGCTGAGGCGGAGGCACCACATTGGCAGCAGGCTACAGAAGTGAGTCCAAGTATCGGGTGCCCCCGCCCCATCCCATCTTTGCCTCCCTGCCACTGGACGGGCAGCATCGTGCAGGCAGCCCTGTGGCTGGAGACAGAGGACGTCTGTCCGGGCAGCAGGCACCTCTTTGGAGACTTTCATTTCCACCGGTTTCTCTAGTTCTTTAAGAGTCTGAGTTTCTCCCCTTCCAAGGACAATTTGAGAACCTAAGCTGCATGGGGTTCCTAGCGCCTCTTTCCAAGGCTGGACAGGCACTGCAGGCCCCTCCGTGTGGCCCTGGCAGAAGGGGCCAGACCGAGAGCCTCGAGAACAACACAGGCCGAGGGCCACAGGAGGGATAATCAGAGGACAGGAAGAAGGCCACGCCAGAGGACCAGTCTCCACACGCACCTTGGCAGGACGGCACCTCGGCCATGGCACAGCCTGTGCTCAGACCCACCTGGCTACTGCACTCGGAAGACACTGGGGGAGTGACACTTTAGAAATGGACACAGGCACGTGCACCCACAGGTGTGTACGGTGTGTACAAGGGCGTGCCTGTGTGTGCTGTGTGTGCATGTGCACGCAGGTTCCCGTGGTGCTTGCTGGTCTGTGCGCGGGCAGGCGAGTGCCGCGACTGCCACTAGAGGGCGGGCTGGGCTTGCTTCTGGGAGGCAGGACGGGGTGCTTGCCGGCCACCAGGGGCACAGCTCGCCCCCAGTAAGAAGGAAGAATTCCCGCAGGGACCCAGAGCACCAGTGGCCTTCCTGTGGGGCGCTGACCCCTGGCAAGGTTGGCCTGGCCCAGGATCAACGGCATCCACAGGAGTGTGGGCAGAAGGCTCAGCTCCTCTGTGGCTTGGGTCAGAGTGTCCTTCCAGGCCTAGCTGGGGTCACCTGCCCCTTCTGGATTTGTGGGCATGTGGGAGGCGGTGGGCAGCGTCAAAGCTTCTGCCATGGAGCTGGGCCGCGAGGCCTTCCTGGAAATAGCCTCCTGAAGGTGTGTCTCATCTGTGTGGCGGGTGACTGCTGCGGGTTCAGGGAGTCAGATGTGGGACTTGTGCCTCTCACCTTCTCATGATGCAGGGGAGGGACCTGGGAGGATGGCAGGCAGGACTCAGTTTTCTGGGGTCTCTGGCCCCACCTCGGCCCTGAGAGGTGAGCTTACCACATGTGTCCAGCCCTGTTCTCTGACCCCCATCTTACCAATGGTCTATGTCTTCCTGGGGAGCTAGAGCTCCCCTGAGGTCAGGGCTGACCAGGGCATGTCCTGGAGTCCAGTGATCTGCCCTGCAGGCCCTGGGGGCCCTGAATATGCAGCCTCTGCTCACGATCAACCCTTCATGGAGATGAAAGGAAGTGACTGGGTGGGCAGTGTCCAGGGTGGCCCCCACTGTGAATGTCCTGGACAGGGCTTCCTGTTGGCCAGCCCAGGCAGACTCCCACTGGGCACAGAGAACAGGGGGACCCCTGGAGCCAGCCACACCGTGAGCAGAGGAGCTTTAGTGAATTCACTCAACAGTGATCTGACCATTTTCAATTTGAGAGCAGAGAAGAAACCACAGTGCTGTCCCCGGGCTCTTCTCACCTCTGCACAGCTCAGCCTGCAGATTCCGCAGGGCACCTGTCAATAATGCAGTGGCTGGCCTGACCTGGGGCCTCAAGGTCCTCCCCAGCAGGACGCACAGCCAACCAGGCCACTTGGGACAAGCCGGGCCAGCAGCAGGGACCCTGAAGTCACCCTTGGCACTGCCCCTCCCTGTGATGACCAGGGCCTGTTCTACCTGCGAGGCTGCCAGCATGACTCGCCCCACTCTGGGCTCTGTGCACCAAGCAGGTAGCCAGTATGGGGGTGAATCTAGGCCAAGAGCCAAGACCCCAGCACCCTTCCTCCCTGGCTGAGGCTGGAGCAGGGCAGGTGCTGCCCACCAACGCTCTGGAAGGGGCTGTGCAGCTCTGTGCCAGCTTCCTGTGGCCCTCTGTTGGGACTCACACCTCTGGGGCTCCCGGGTGGTCACAGCTGGAATCTCCTTCCCCTCTGTGCTGAGCAGTGGAGCAGGCTGGGGTGCACCTTCCCGCGTGGCTCAGCACCTGCCGCCTGCCCTTGTCTGCCCTGGGCATGAGTGTGTTCAGAGGATCCCTGGGTGGTTGCCGTGGAGAGGTGAGGTGGCACGGCGGACACCGTGGGCAGTTCAGCCCTCCTTACCACATGACCCGGGAACCCTGCTCCAGGGAACAGATCCAAGTGTGCTTCAGCAGCTCCCAGGAGCAGCATTTACACAGCCAACAGCCCAAGTGACCGCAGGGATCAGACACAGCCCATCTGCCCAGCGGTGACAGGAGGAGTACCGCTGCCCGCTGCCCACCCAGGAGCTCAGGCTGGGCAGGACAGCACACCCTGAGCGCCGCTGCTCCTGGGCAAGGTCCAACCGGGCAAGTCTGCAGAGGGAGGCAGGTCGGTGGCCGCCAGGGCTGGGGTGGTGGGGGATGGAGTGACGGTGAAGGGGTCTCCTTTGGGTGACGAACACATCCAGGAGTTACATGGAGGTGGTGGTCACTCAATGCACACCCAAACCAAAATTGTACAGTATACAGAGTGGACAGTGTGGTGAGAGCTATATCCCAAGGTGTGGGCAGCAAAGCCCGAGGGGTCCTAGTGGGGCTGTGCACGGCTGGTGGCCCCAGGACAGACTCCGTGGGGCCTGCAGGATGTCCCCAGGTCACCGCAAGGCTGAGCCCTCCCCCAGCCCTAGCCCTCTCCTGCCAACGTGGTCCACTTTATGCTTTGAAAACCGCCCTTGCTGCTCTGCCACTGAGATTTATTTTTTAAACGACCTTTCTTTCTCTCCTTTCCCTAATCTCAGGGGAGACAGGGTCACCTTTCTTCCCCACCCTAGGCAGAGTGACCACAGGAATGAAGTAATTCAAACTTGGGGATGGCACCAGAACATCTCAGAAATGACTACCTCCCAAATTAACAAAGGAATTACAACTTCAGACAGAGAACAGGTGGAACGTAGCCTTCGAATTGCCTCTTTAAAAACCTACGACTTCTGTTTATTCTGACAGTTAACATCACAGATACCAGAGCAGGGACTGCTTGGTTTAATGCTGTATACTGTCTGCATTGGGTGCCGTAGCTATCTGTCATAAACCCTGAGGCACGGGAAACTTCAGGGACACTCTAAGTCCACAGGGTAAAAACTCGACTGCCTCGGATCCACACTGTTAAATGGGGAGACACACCAACAACATGAAAAAGCAAGGGAACAAATTGCCCCAAACAAACCAAGATACCCCAATAACAGAGTCTATCAAGACCCCAGTGGAAGAAATGTCAGAGAAGGAGTTTAGAATGTACACAGTTAAACTGATCTGTGAGGTAAAGATGATGTAAGGAGTGATATCAGAGAGAAAATACAAGAAGTAAAATAAAGAGCAATTCTAAAAAAAAATCAAGTAGAAATATTTGAAATGAAGGAAACAATAAACCAAATTAAAAATTCACTTGAAAGCATCATGAACAGACTAGACCATTTAGAAGACCGAATTTCAGGCAATGAAGACAAAATATATAATTTTGAAAATAAAGTTGCTCATGGAGAAAAAGATATTAAGAGACCATGAGCAGAACTTCCAAGAAATATGGGTTAACATGAAAAGACCAAACTTAAGATCTATCATGATAGATGAAAGGTTGAAGACACAAACCAAAGAAATGCACTATCTTTTCAATGAAATGATATCAGAAAATTTCCCAAACCTAAAGAACAAAATGGAAAATCAAATGTAGGAGACTTAGCAAATACAATATCACACAGGACCCTAAATATACAGAT